ATATATATATATATATATAATATACTATATACACTATATATACTATATAATATATATATATATATATATAAAAAAATAAAAAGGTAGGACGAAAATAAGTGTATAAAACGAACTTATAGTATTTTTTTAACGTTTAGCTGATATTTTTATTGAAACATAAAATAACAAACAAAGTGAAATATGGGGAATCGAGCAGTCTTAAGAAATAAAAAAGAACACCCAAATGAAACAAAACTAAAATAATAAATAACTATCAGCTAAACAAAACCCACCCGGAAACTTCTCTGGAAGACTGAGCATCAATGACAGAACCGAAAAAGGTGGGTAACCTGTTAGCACCAGAGAAAGAGGAGAAGTTACTCCGATTGGCATGGTAGATCATGAATAATCAGTCTGGTGGATCAATCCACCATCTCTCTTGAAGGGCTGCTGATTCAACTGTCGGTGACACCTCCTCAATCCAAACCATCTGTGTGGTAAAAGATTTCCCTATCTCGGCGAAAACGTGCGCTGTTTTATTCATCCGCCTGGATACATGCATGAAGGTAATATGCTCGAATACCCTTATAGTATATTTAAAACTATTATTGGTTTATGAAATATTTTGTATATAGACTCTTGGGATACTATGTTAGGACTTTTCACGTTATGATTTCGCATCCATTATTTTATTAGATTTGGATATTTGTTATTATCTATTTATATGTATTTCAATTAATGTTTACTTTATAAACTATTTTTATAATATTGATGTTTTCTTAAATAAATGTTTTATGAATCATCGTTAATGTGATATCCGATATTCGGTCATAATGTTTAAGTCGGGTCGAGCGGATATCTTCGTATTTGTATCAAACTCGAAGAATAAATACAATTTGTACATACAGAAAATAATAAAAAAAAAGGAAGAGATGTTTGTCCATATGAGACTTTCAATCTCTTCTCTTTCTTGGAATTATTTCTTCTGCTTGTGACACCATCAGAACGAATCTAAAAATGGTGGAACAAGCACTTGGGATTTATCCTAAAATGAAAGCAGCTTTTAATCTGCAGCAATCACGATGTTGATGCTAGGTTGAATTATATAAAGTCACAAATTCAATGAAACAAACCCCACCCCATTCTGACTAATTGCAAGTTGTTCGATCGACTTCCTCCTGTGTCCGAGGCTGCATCTGCTGACGGGAAACCAACTCTTCTAAAGCTTCCCTCATCCACAAATGGGGGCATTCTTCTCTAGCTCTAGATATTGTTACCTAAGTATGCAATTAGATAAAAACATGTTAGACCATCACGAACAATCACAACCTAGCATTTCTTACATACCCATTTCCTTGTCCGGGTGTTCTTCTCAGGCCAAAGGTCCAGTTCTTGCTTGACAAGCATAGAGAACATGTGGCCTTCATGGACAGTACTTTTCCTCTTGCTCTCATACGACCATTTCCCTAGTTTGCACTTTTAAATCCAGATGGTTTGGAGTTAAAATTGAGAAATAATAAAAGATGTAAATGAAGAATTGATATATATATATATACACACTAACTTCAATGTTGCCGACAACACCGGCTTCTTCCATCGTCTCTCGAACGGCTGCCTCTTCCATAGATTCATCATTTTCCCAGCCACCTTTAGGGAATAACACACCTTTTCCATTTTGTGCATTGATCACAAGCACTTCGATCATTTCATCTTTCGAATTCATCTCGTCTGGTTTTTTATACCGATATGGAATACATCTATTCAAAGAAAATTAAAAAGTTGTAATCAATCAAGGCATTCCGTTATCGAATTATGGGAAATAAATTACCCAACAACTAAACGAGAGCCTCTTTTATCATAGCGTTGCGAGTGCCTGCCACTGCGAGGAGGGCGATAAGAAACAAGAGGAACCATATCCTCGACAGGAACCGACAGCTTCACAGGGATCTTCTCAATGAGAGACGCCAACATGCTGGCCAAGGGGGAAAATTTGTAAGAAATCCAGACACCCCTCCAATGTTGTCATAGAAATTTAGGAAGAGAAAAGAGAGAGAAACACAAGGTTTATGGGATGGTGCTGGTTTTATATTTCCTACTGTTCATCACCCTTCAAACCAAATTTAGAGTTTCCATCGTTTAGCAGTCCTCAATTTTTAGAGGAGATTTTATCATTAATATCCGTATGTGGATAAGATGTAAGAGCCAAATCCGGTGTCTCCAATGTTTTCTTTTCTTTTTTCTCTACTCCTTTATTAATAGAAAATGATAGATGGGAAGGAAATAGGAAATAAATCGATACGTTTTCATTAATATAATGATTAATTATAGTCATATTATATATTTTTGCCAACTAGTGTTGATATAAAGGAGTGATATTTAAGAATTTGAGTTTGTATGGATAAATTTGAATCTTACGACTGTCATTCTTAATAAGCTATCTATAAATTTTTATATAAATTTCAATCGGATGTTACGTATTCTCTGATCCTAGACAGAATGAGCTATCCCTGACCTAATTTTTTTATAATATATATATTGGAATATAATCATAATTATATTATATATACAGTATACTTAAAATTTAGAATATAATGATTTGTGCGTTTTGCATGCGTAGGGGACGTGTTGTTTAAAGAGCGTGTATGAGCAACACGTGTTTATCATTTTTCTGAAATCATATATTATATCATATTAAAATGGAATAAAAGACGAATATGTATGTGAAAGATAAACTTTTAACACTTAAATAAATGATTATAAAATTTGAATTTTAATAAAATTTTAAAGTGAATACAGTTAACAAAATAAATAATTAATTAAAGAAAATTTTAATTTTAAGATAATTACTCCTCCACTTTAAACAATACATGGATCCTCTACAGATTATAGGTGGAATTATGTAAATTCATATGTCTAATGTTTGAGACTTATATATAAAGAATAAAAAAGAAAATTGTTCGAAATTAAACTTAACATTTAATGTTAATTAAAATTAAAGTGATATATTTTATTATTACATCACAAGTTTATTTGATTTTAGATTAACTTATAGACTTAATGCTTTTTAATTTTATTTAATTATATATATTTAACTTATTAAATGATTAATCCAGATACAAAAAACATTATGAAGTGTGACAATCTTTTCAGTTTAATTTTTTATTCCAACATAAAGATTTAAACTCTAATCTTATTTAAAATATTTAATGTATAATTTTATTAAACTAATTAATAATTGATCATTTTCAATTTTTTATTCGAAAATATATAAAAATAAGAAAACAAAAGTATATTTATGCTAATATTTATTAATATATTTTAAAATAAAAATATTTTGATGTTTTTAAATTAAGCTGATATTAAATTTACTCATAATATTAAATTTTATTATACAATCAATAATATCATAAACAATTAAAATGTGAACAAAAAGGAAGATAACCAAAATGTAAAAACGAATCAAAATCAACATAAAACCAATGAAATAAGACAAGAGGTATGATGCAGCGTGGGTTACGATTATGGTTATTTGAAATCGATTTGATTAAAGTTTGATTAATTTTTGAATTAGATAGATTTGATTTGAGTTTGAATTCAACTCGATTTTTTAACTAGTTGAAGCGAGATATTTGATATCTAACACGAAAAGCTCGTAAGCAACTCAAAAAAAACAATATATTGATTTTTTAGATTTTTTAAATTAAATTGTTATCAATACTAGTATTTATATATTTTTTTAAATACAATATAAGGTTTTCATATACTTCAGATTTAGGTTTGAGCTCCAATCGAGTTAAGTCCAAGAATATTTTGAGTTCAAGTTTTTTCTAGTTTGAGTCGAGCTTCAAATTTTTATTTCGATTTGAGCTTGAAAATTTTAAACTTGCGAACTTTCGAGCCGAGTCAAACTTAATTTTATATTTTCGTCAATTGTGACAAGGGATGGGCCGACTTAGAAGTCTAACCACCTAAAACCTACAATGTAAAGTGTAAACGCTGGCTTCATTGGAATCCCTATTTTTCATTTGGTACGCAGCAGCCATTTTGACGGTTGAATTCAACGTCAACAGAATTTGACACTATTAATTGCCCAATTCACTGTATAGTAAAGAAACTTGTAAGTGATTTAATAATTCCATTCAAAAATAATTATTAAAAATTTGATATCGATACATTTTTAATATTTTCAAACTCAAAATCTTAAAATATAATAATAATTTCTTTATTACGAAAGTATTATTTATATATAAATCTCAAAAGAAGAAAACATTTGAAGATGGTCAAATGGTATTTGAATTGATCCGCGTAAAAAGATATTTATTCCCCACCAAACTTCTTCCGTCTTTGCCTGCCCTGCCTTCATACGTCTCCTCCCCATCTCTATCCTTAGCCTTCCCTCTCTCTCTCTCTGTATATATATACATCTCATTATTTGTCGTCATCAACACTGCATAGAGATTTAATTTTTTTTTTAAAAAAAACAGAGATTTGGGTGTGAAATTTTGTGTCAAGTATCGTTGTCGAGGTTGAAGCAGGCAGCAGAGATTGATGGGTAATGTTGCAATTCACAGTCAAGTTCGGAAAATAAAACAGGAATCGGACCAAATCATCGATGGTTCGCCTGGACAGCCTGAGATGAGACATGCTCTTAGAGAGATTCCTCGACACCAGAGTTATCGAAGGGTTGAGTGGCGGCAGCCCGATCTATGTCGGTCACTAGAGGGCAGGGGCGGCTTCTGGGATCGGTTTTTGAACAAGAAGCTATAATAAACTCTATTTAAACAATATGGTCTATGGACTTAATCCCCTCTTTTAACATAATCTTTGTATATACGAATATGATGGAATTCTAATAAATTTATTTAAAATCTCTCTGAAACCCGATCAAATTCCCTGAATTTTGAGTGAAGCAACTCTTTTTCTCTTATTTTTCACCTGTTATGTGCTACATACAATTAATAGCAAATTGCGACTGCAGTCGCCTGCTATGAAGTACATACACTGGACATACGTATGTGCTTTACAATTATATCGTATACACCATACCAACCTCCACCAGAGCTGCATGAGGGATGTTCAATGCTACATGGGGTTCTCTGCCATTTTTATCCAGGAAAACATAGACCATGACGAGGAATCGCTTGATGAAGTTGGAACCATTGCGTACCACCAGATGTGATTGACCCAAGAAATATGCAGTCCCGCTCTCCCTGGCCTCGATCAGTTCGTTTAGCTCCTCCCTCACCGAAACACGCATTCGCGGGCTGTCAACCGGCAGCATGAACCGTACCTTTTTCTGCTTTCCTTTGGAATCTCCGGACGAGCTTCCGTTGGTTTGAGTTGCTGCATTGGCTGAGCTTGTGCCTTGGTTATCATGTAAAGGTATCAAACCATCTCCTTCTGGTTGTTTTGCAACAACAATCATTGTTCCTTCGGGTGCCACCAAGGACTCGGCATCACGTACTTCCATGGAAATAAAATCCCCGATGGAGCGAATGATCTGTTCCTCAAAGTCCCCTGTGTCCCTGACATGATCACGGTATCCGTATCTTACGATGCATCGGTAGATTCTACTAGCTCGAGGCCCAACTCTGCCTATAAGATAACGTCTACTCGGGGGAACGAAAGGCTCTGGCAGTGACTTGAATGACACGAAAATCAGCACTTGATGAAAGGCGGGTACGTTTGTGATAAAATGGGAGAAGAAAGCTGGGATGCCGGTTACTATGTCGGTGTAGACAAAGCCTATTCCGGGTACCCTGGAAACTCCGAGGCCCGAGCTGAGATCCATAAGCCATTCCGTCGATACCATGTTTTCCAAGTCAAATTGATATTTCTTCAAAGTTCCATAATGCCATGAAACCATGATTGTCAAGGTTAGCACCAAAAGAACAGCCAGATACCAGGTTCCCTTGTGAAAATTTAATATGTTACATGATAAATACAAAGCCTCTATGGACCCGAAAAACAGTAGGAAGCAAGCAGACACTAGCAAGCTCTTTTCCCAGTACAGGGAAATCACAAGTGACATTAGAACAGTTGTTACCAGCATGGTAGAGACCACAGCCGTGCCTGTACACAATTTACTTTTGGTTTCATTCGACAAATTTGACGGAAAATACGGTTTATAAACGTTTACCGTACTCTTAAATGTGCAACAATTTACCTAGTGCACTTCCAATTCGCGGGGCATCATGGAAGCCTATTGTAACACCAAGGCTAAGAACCATTACTATCCAGTTAAGATCTGGTATATAAACCTGGCCATGTATCGTATCTGATGTATGAATCACTTTCACTCTGGGGAAGCAACCAAGTGCTAGGCACTGGTTTACAATTGAAAAACATGCTGTTATTGTCGCTTGGCTTCCGATCACCGAAGCAAATAGAGCCAAAACCGTGTAGACATGCTGAAAATGATCTGCAATTGACAATCAATCGTCAGCTGGTAATAAAAATGACAATCTAAAGCATAAAGTATAAAGTAGCTGAACAACTTACCAGGTACGGATCGAAAAAGGTGATTATATTCGTCAGGAAGACCGTTTGAGTTCTTTGCGGAGAGTGTATGGGAAAGGAATGCAGCTTGACCCGCATAACATAAAATTAAAACGGGGTAAATCATGCAGAAAAATGTCAACTGCAGTAGGGAACCGAGCAAAGTTCTGTCAATCTATAATCGAATTATCAGTGCAGTTTGCTGAGACATGAACTCGATCAAGTACCTTGATCGATTTCACTGAGAAATGACCTAGATCCGCATACATTGCTTCCGATCCTGTGAAAAAAAAAACAGGCTGCATATGTAGTTTGAAAACTAATAATACAAGAAGCTATCTTGTAATGCTCAATGGTAAACCAGATTACGAGCCTACGCTGACCTGCCACACACAGAGTGAGACTGCCCAATGACCTCCAGCTACTGATGTTAATACTTTTGAAATACCTGTAAATGTATTTTGGGGAGATTGCATATATGATATGTGGATCATACTGTAAAATATTGTATACACCCATTCCGCTAATAAACAAGAGCCATACTATGACTATCGGAGCAAATATGAACCCGATTCTACGACTTCCGTAGCGTTGCACTGTGAAAAGGCAGACCAATATGGCACATGCAACAGGCACATGTACATCTGAAATAAATAGGATAACAGAGACATCAAGCATCCTTCAAACATTGTTTTTTGAAATATTGAATCCGAAGATATCGAGTTTCATAAAACTTACATCTCTTGAAATCTCTCGTTATTGACTCATCTCTTTCATTGGAAGATGAATCTGCAAAATCAACATAGGAAGGTTATTAGCTAAAGGTTGATGGATGGTTCAAAGATATGGTTCCTCTTCTTCCTGCTGGTCCTTACATTTATTATCTGTTAATGATCGTTGAAGACTGGATGAAGCCGCTAAAACTGGAGAAGGAAAATAGAAAAAAGGGAAAATAAGCACAACGAACAATTCGATGAGAAAAACTATCACAAAACAAGAGAACTTGAACAGGTTTATCAAACCAGAAATAGCCGGTGTAAGAACTGCGTCGGCTATTATCATGCAAGAGCCGAGCAGCGCCAAGAACAGCATCAAGTAATGACTGCTCTTATGTTTCGTGATAGCCCTTCGAGCTCTTGATTCGACCTTGTTTGCGGAATGACTTTCATCATCATATTGCATAACGTTGTTATCGCTATTATTATTAGGGAGCAAACCAACTTTTCCATTCCTGCACAATAGTGAGTACAAAGCAAAAGTACCACCTGCAAGATATCATCCAGGGTAAAATTCATTTCTCGATCTTATCGACACAATTGTTTTATTTTAAAAGGTCACTGAAGATCATTACATACCCTCTCCATCGTCATCGGCTCTCAGCACTATAATGGCATACTTCAATAACGAAATGATCGTCAAAGTCCAAAAGGAAAACGAGAGGTACTCGTATGCACTCTCATCGGATTTGAATTCCTGTGTAGGGATTGAACTAAAGACATATAAAGGAGCAGTACTCAGGCGACCGTAAACTATTCCAAGGCTTTGGAATGACAAAAGGAGTGTATGCTTCCAGGTCTCCTTCTGAAACAACATCACGAACATCAAAATAACACATAATCAAAGGCTTAATACTAAGGCACTGCACATGCTGTTATCTACTGCAAAAGTCTTAACACATGCTGTTATCCTAGGTCCGAATCTATGGAGACTCGATTTAAGGGTGACTAAACCTTGAGATGCTCACTGCTTCCAAAGAACACAATACTAATTTGTGTGCAGTGATCATATCAAGTATAAACCGCTATGCGACTGGTCTCATCTACAAGATCCCATCACTAATATACGATGATCAAATTTTGAATCAAATTAAGATTAATAAAATAGGTCATTAATCAACGCTAGGAAACTGCATCAGAGCCTGATGAAACCAAGCAAGAACTTAAGCAAAACATGCAGAAAACCTAGAGAAACAAAGTATTCTGCACTTTAACAACTGACCTTGAAGGGAATAGAGTAGGTTCCGGGGCTCAATGGAGGATCCATTAAGAGAAACAGAGACCAAGAGACAGATAACAGGAAAAGGTTTTCATTGGGAAAAATGTAAGAAAAATGACAAAAATGGGAATGAAGTAGCGGTCGAGTCTATGCCAGTTTGATTGACACAAAGAAAGTTACAGAGTCTTGAGAATGGTCGGCCGATTCCAAGACAGTTTGTTGTTTTTCTATGGCAATTTGAATGCTGGACTGACACTGAAGCCTGCAATTCTATATTTCAAATATTATATATGTATGTATGTATATATTCCAAGGCCTCATGGGATCACGTTCTCATATGACACCTTCACATGATATTGAGATCATAAATATATATATATGATATTGCATCATATTTTCCTAAAAGTCGAACCTGTACATTATCTTTAATAGCTCGAAGTTTCTCCATAGCATCATGTTGTTGTCCGCCAGTTCTTTGCTCGAAGTATCTATGAATCAATCGAATCCTGGTAATATCAAAATAAACCAATAGATCACACGTTGTTTATCAGTAATACTTGTGCAATTCATTGAGCTTGTTGATACATACATTTTGGTTAATGCAAATAATTATTCATTTCTTTACTTTTCCCACCATGTCCATAATCAGATCACCTGCTTTTGGATTTGCCTGTTTATTAGTTTCACTAAATCAAGATGAAAAGGAACAAATGAAGAATAAGTTTCTACATTGAATATTAAGGTGTCTTGACTCTTGATAGAAACAACAAAAATATAGTTAAACATACCTTACACGAAAAGTTGTTTACACCATGAATGATAAAGAAACAAAGAAAGATAACTTTTAAAAGGAAAACGTTTTTTAAAATTCTTGAAAGAAAAACAAAAAGTAAAAAGAGAGAGATGGTGAAAGATGATTTCTTTGGTTGAGCATAAAAAGGGTTGGTAAATAGTTATTGGTTTTAAACATGTTTAGTAGTGGGCATTTTTTTTATCACGTGCAAATCTCATTCCTGGAAAAAAGGTCAGCAACCACAGGTGGTCAAATGAAAGGGTAAAGGTCATAACTCTTAACTATTTAACATTGAACGCTCATATCCTTAACATTCTTGGTGGTCGATCACAAATCTTCGAATCTATACATGTCTATTTCAATGTCGTATGGTCTATTTAGAACGTAGGTTTTTGAATTTTAAAGGGTAAATTAAATGTTTAGTACCTAAACTATTACTTTTTTCATTTTGGTATTCAAACTTTATTTTGTTTCAAAATCATACCTAACATTTAGTTTAAGTTTCACTTTGATACCCCATCATTAAAAACTTAACGAGACTGTTGTATGTGGTATTTTTATGGGTAAAATACATCATTCATCACTCAACAATCTTCTCACTGCTATTTTGGTTACTAAAGTTTAAAAATTTCAATTTAATTACTTAAATTTCAAATTATTCATGTTTTAATCACCCTAATTTATTTTATTAATATTTTTGGCATGACATTTTTATTATTATTTTATTAATATATAATTAAAATAAAAAATAAATTTAAAATTATACCTAAACCTACCACATGCCCTAAATCACAAACCCCTCATATATTAATAAAATAATTTAGAGTGATTAAAATAAGAGTATTTTGAATTTAAGTGATTAAATTTAAACAATTTGAACTTCGTTGACCAAACTAGAAATGAGAAGATAATTGAGTGATGACATGTACACCAATTCATTTAAGTTTTTAAAACCGGGTATCAAAATGAAACCTAAACTAAACGTTAGGTATGATTTTGGAAAAAATTAAAGTTTAGGTACTAAAACAAAATAAATGTAATAGTTTAGGTACTAAAGGTGTGGTTTACCCTTAAAAATAAATGATGAATGGAACATTATCGATTATTCGTAACATCACCTGTTGATTTAGTAGATATGGAAATTTAAAAGGGAAAAAAACTCTTTTGGTACATTGAAGATGATCAAAAAAAAATTATAAGTTAACAATTTTTTTTTTGCTTAACATGAAAATAAGTGTCTAAATTATATTCACTTTCTCATTTAAGTTCTTAAATCATTTTCTTAGCTTAATGTTACAATGTTACCATTTAAGTGACTCGATCGTAATGACCATTAAAAAAATCATTAAATGACATGTGTCATATTCAATTTTTTTAATTTTATTTTTTGACAAACGTAGTTTTTTTGTAAATATCAATTCCTCATTCTTAATAATATATAAGAAAGAAATGCGTAGTGGTCGATCCACACCAACTTGAAAAATTTCCAAATTTCGATTTGATTTGCTACGACCAGGTAATATGTAGTAAATTAAATAAAAGAGGGTTTGATAAAAAAAGATTCAATAAAAATAAGTAATTAAAGATGAAAATTAAGAATATTGAAAATATAAAATTGAAAATACTTATGATAAAAAACAGCCTCAAGCCTCGCTTTAACTCAATTCGTTTCTGATCATTGAAAACATATTTTCACTTCGAGATTCACACCGGTTACAGTCTACAAGGCCCAACCATTGTAACTTGTTTTTCACTTTGGTAATTGATTTTCCCAAGACCAATATTTGGAAATCCAGCTTTTAATTGAATCAACTACGACAATCGTCGTTAGCACAAAACAATTTTAGTTTAGGAAAAGCCTAACTCGGATTATGTTGTCTCGCTGAGAATCGCACCCGATCTAAGTTTCTCTTAGCGGATCTCAACTAAGTGTGTTTATAGGAAGTCGGATATGCTACAAGTCAGTCTTTCCTCCCACCTTTAAATCAGAACAACATCCAGACCAACAAGCTCCTTTTTAAATGAAAATATTTTAATTTTAAAGGATAGGTCGATTACCTATCCAAGTTTTCAGAAAACTGAGAATGACATCCTAAAGATGTTAAGTGATTTTCAATTCTCACATATTGAATTGAGTCATCGCTTAGCCTTTTCAACTTATGAGAAAACTAGCTAACCATGACAGAAGTCATACTTAACATGTTTAAAAATAAAACTTGAAATAAAATAAAAATGAAAGAAAGCCTTTTATAAAACCAAATAACCGAAAACTCCTGAATCAAATCCAAAACAAGTGTGTTTTAAGCTTTACCCCATGGGGTATTTATAGCTTCTAAAAACCTAAAGATAATAATGGAAATTAAAAGATAAATAAATCCTAAAGATAATCCTAAATGTTTTCAAATTCAAACTTTAAATTTCAAAAACAAATCCTCTTAAGATAACTTTTCCCGTCCACTTTCCAGAAGGTACTAACTAGATCTTCTAGAAACTGTTGCTGACTGGACCTTCTAGAAACTGCCATGTCATGCCGCATCATACCCAGTGTCGTGTCCATGTCTCCAGCCGTGATCAACTAATAAAAGAAAATGTAGAATGTGCTATTCTTAATGATAATTCTGGAAAATAAGATCCTGCACGAAAATAAGCACAATACAACCAAATCAACAATAATAAATCCATAACACAGAAGAATTAACAAGTAAATATCATCAATATAAAACACTCATCAAATTCCTCCTCACTGGTCTCATGCTTGTCCTCAATTATGCTTTAATCAAACAAGTCAAAAACTCTATTTACCTTTCTTTACCAAGTCTCACATCCAAGAAAACAATGTAATTAGAGACCACAATACCCATCCAAGACAAGACACCAATCAATTGAACAACACTAATGAAACAAGGTAAATATAATTTTGACATTCATTCATTCATCAATCTCAATGCAACCTAACTCAATACCTTACCAGGATTCACTCAAATCACTCAATGCGTTTGGGGTATAGAAACACTCAACGTCAGAACCGACACGATATTACCATAGGTCTGCATGTAAATCAAATCTCCACTACTAATAAGAACAAGATGCATAAATCAAAGGGTCTTTTATTGGTTGTAACAGGACTTAGATAAAGGTGAGAAAATAAGCTAAAAATGTGGCTAAGATTCAAGATAATGAACTCACAAATAACTGGATCAAGTTCATAAACCGACTAAGTATAGCAAAATAATAAGACACAAAACATCAAACAACACATTTTCCTTTCGAACTTAATTTGACTTTTTCACACTTTTGTTGTTTTCTCCTTTTCTTTGTTTTTCTGTTTTTGTTCATTTCTATTTTTTCCTCTTTTTTTCTTGCTTCCTTTTTTTCTTTTTTTTTTCACATGATTTCCTCTTTATATGAAGCATGATCATACATCGGGTAAACTGTTTACTTGTCCTGAAAAGGGTAGAAAAGAGGGATAAAATAAAAGGTTCATGTTTGTAAATATGTTGAAACAAAGAATGAGAATAGGCTCAAGAGTGTCTAACTAGGGGAAAATGCATGGGTAGGCAATTTCGAGGGTAAAACAGAGTG